TGGAGTAATATATCAAGTCAATGTTTGAATAAACTGACTGCTCGGATGCCTAGTGTTGTCCCTTATTATCAATGCAAAATGGTCACTAACTAAAGAGGATTTATGCTGATATTGCCCAAAAACCCTATTTTGTTCAGGCGTTTCCAAACTTTTGGAGGGCAGTGTATATATATATATATATATATATATATATATATAGAGAGAGAGAGAGAGAGAGAAAGGGAGAGAGAGAGAGTGTTTGACTGAGACACACCTCTCACCATCAGTCTTTGTCACCTCCTACTTACTCGCCTTTTACTGAGAATGAAAAAGCCATTCGCTTTTAAATCAGAGCCAGGAAGACCCTCAGCACAGTAGCCTGATTACATTATCAGACCATATAATTACGCAGAAATGTGTATCTGAGGCAATGCTGGCATTCGGTTGCATACAATATCAGCACGGGTTAAACGTTTCATCTCTTAATCCTCAGGTTCTGTTCACTAATTAGCAATGGATGAATCACTGATGCAGACCATTTATATTTATATGTACTTGTAGACGTAAAACAGTGACAAGCATGATCTGACAATGGGAAATCTTGAACTATCAATAAAAAAATCTAATTCTGTAAAAAAAAATAATAAAATAAATAAAAATCTCATTCTGGATTATGTATGCAGTAGACTAGACATTTTTTTGTTTAGCATATTCAGATTACAGCTAGGCCTGCATAATTCCTGATAAAATAGAAATCACTGTTTTTACTCCTGATTCTTGGACCAAATTTGCAAAAAAAAAAAAAATATATATATATATATATATATATATATATATATATATATATATATATATATATATATATATATATATATATATATATATATATATATATATAAAGTATATTTATTTGATTCTTACATGACTGTAGCAGAGCATGGTAGCTACATTATGGATGTCTGTGAATGACAGCTTGTCTGCGTTTTATATTACTGCTTTCTAGTACTGTGCAAAAGGCACCCTGTTATAAGGCACTTTTTTTTATATACATTTTGTTGTAAGTGTTTAATTTATGACTGTATTATTGAGTCAGTACAAAAAACATTATATTTCCAAACATTATTTTTGCAGCCAAAAATTTAATGTTACAGAAAAAAGTTTGTGTGTCAGTAAAGAAAGCAACATATTACGCAACAGACCACTTTTCAGACAAAACAACATAATGAAGGCTGCTGTTTTGCACGCAATTAAAAAGAAGCAAGTGCAACAGTCAGAAGAACTGTAACAGATTCTCCAAGCCAATTTCCTTATAAAACTGCACAAACCGTGTCTCAGTCTGCTGATTTTTTTTTTAAAGCAAAGGGTTGTCACACCATATACTGGCTTTGTTTACTGTGGTTTACTAATATTAATAGTTGTTGTTCCTCTCTCGGCTGCTTCCGTTAGGGGGTCGCCACAGCAGATCATTGGTCCGCATATTTGATTTGGCACCGTTTTTACGCCAGATGCCTTTCCTGACGCAACCCTCTGCCAATTTTATCCAGGCTTGGGACCGGCACTGAGAGCACACTGTTTCACACAACCCCAGCAGCTGGGGTGGGCTCCCTGGCCGGGAATCGAACCCAGGCCACAGCGAGGAGAGCACTGTGGCCTACCCACTAGTCCTCCAGGGACCTATGGTTTACTAATATTAATAGTATTTAATAGTATTTTTACGTAGAACAGTTTAATTGCATTATTTTGAAGGCATCCTTGCTTTACAGCATTACTTTGCGTGTACCTAAGACTTTTGCATCGTACTGTATATTATATCCATTCAGTTGACCTTCATATCTGCCCCGTTATTTTTCGCTTATGATGAGTGCGTATTATGGGAGTCATTTGATGATAATTAAAAGGATGTGGTTGGTGAAATGATTGACAGTTTTGGACTCGACAGTCAAGCCTCATGAACACGCACACGCTTTCCAACACGGACCGGAAGCTCTCGACAGTTCTGTAGCAAAACCATGTCTTGTTCTGCTGTAAACTCCTTTAACGGACTCTTAGCGGCGAATTCTTTGCAGTGTTTCCATTATGTTGCTTATTTTGATGTCTAAGCTAGCTCATTGTACTGATATTATAAACATAATACAGTATATGAGGGAAGTGATGGCACCAACCAAGGCAGGTAACAATAGCTATATTTCACTGCCATTGTAACAATTGTAAATTGACCTAAGTAGACACTTGACATAACTTGATAAGGTTAGCCAGTCACTCCTTTCTAAACAAACTCCACTGACAGCAGGAGCAAAGCATAAGAGCACACACCTCCTTTCAGATGAGTAACTTACGGCAGGTGACAGAGCTCGATGAAAATCATGGAGAGCAGCGATATTTTATCACAAAAAAATGGGCTGCGTTGAGTGTAAATGTTAATCAGTATATTTTCAGTTGGTACCATGCATTAACTACTTATACTTGCATTACGTTGATTAACATGATGAATTAGCCAGTGTCAGCTAGCTAGCAAACAGTAGCTCAGTCAGCCACGACTCAAAGCTATAAAACATTTCCTGACATAATTAATATACGACTAAAATTTAGCATTTTTTCATATTAATTCATTCGTAACTCTGTACATGCCATTTTGAGATGGCATTCGACAAGCAATTTTAAGCTGCACTTCAAGTAATATTTCTCAACGTGTGTGAAGATGCGGCTGGAAACGGGAGTGTCCAAGACCAATATGGTTGGGTTGGAGTCAGACGCACTGTCCGAGTGACTATATTTACTGCGCATGCTCTGACTCCAAGGTCTCTACTGTGCAGACTCTTGCTGCAGTTTTGGCCTGCACAAAAATCAAAGATGGCGACTTTCAATTCGAGCAAAAAAAAAAAAAAAAAAAAAAAGGCCGCACAATGGGAGTAAATGGTCCCAGTATACATACAGTCGTTGGTCGTCCCAGCGTTAAACGCAAACCAGCGATATTAACATCTGTTTAATTAGTCATTGTTTCTGTTCTTTCTGTCAACTCATAAGCCACTTGTGAGTGAAAATGGGTCTTGATAAACGCATTTCCTGTGTAATGCGTCACTGGTGAGTTTTGAGCGAGACTAAACATGCAGCCATGACTCACACGCTCCATTCATTCATTTAGTACAATTAGTAGTTGTTTGTTTAGTAACTCGGAATTTAATGTTCAGTACATAATGTTAAACGTTTGTTTAGGACAAATATGTTCCTTCTCACTACAAGCAGGCATGTAGGTCGATTTAAAATTCACCCACAGCTTTCTGACGTTGTTTCTCCCCTTTTTCTTCTTTAGACTCGCCGTGCTTCAGGTACATGTGGGAGGTCATGTGGTACAATGTAAAATAAAGAAGATTAGTGGCGCTCTGTTTTTTATGCAAAGGTTACATTGCAAATGCAGCAGAATCGATGCTGTTTTTGAATCGAATTGCATTGATAAACAAATCCAGATTTTCTGATTTTAATTTACAAAAAAAAATTTGCGCTTTTTTTGTTCAGCCATACTTACACTGCAAAAAGTCTCATCTTAGCAAGTGAAAATATCATGAATACAGTCAAATATATCTAGTACTTACTATTATAAGATTATAAGATTCTTAAATCTATTTCTTTACACATTTTTTTTTAAACTAATTTTAAGCTTGGAATAGTCTTGTTCTATTGGAAGATATTTTTTTTCTAATATTAGGCATTTATTTCTCGAGAGAAGGAAATTGATCTGCCAATAGAATAAAATGTAAAGCTTGAAATAAGTAAAAAATCGTCTAAAATTGGGCTGAATGATCTTATATTTGATTCATAATCGTTTCAATACATTTGCCCATATTCAAGATTTTGTCACTTGCTAAGATATTATTTCTTGCAGTGTACACCTTATTACTCACAAACCAAAAAGACCTGAACACAAACTCTTCCGTATCCAAACTGGATGTTAATGTTCTTTAGAGAACTCGATCCGAGCACATGGGAATTACATTTATGTAATATTCCTCCATTTGATAAAAGGTTAAAACGTTTATCTAACGGGTCATTTTGACCTGAACAGAACACACAGCTTAAGTTCTGTAGCTCAATAATGGTGATGTGCTTGAATAAAAAATGAGAATGTGGTATTAAGCTGCCAGAAGGCCTGGAGATTCTAAAAAATAAAGTCAGTACAGAGTCTGTAGAATTACTTTATTCCCTAATGTGGTTTTCTTTAGTCAGAAAATCGTTCACTGTCACACCAGAGCATCATCCACACATCCCTCTTTTTTCGTCGATATGCAGTTATTCTCTGGAGATCAAATTATTTATGAACTTCTCCGGAATGTAGTCATTCAATCAGGCGTATATGTTGGGTTGCTGAGTTTGTCTGCCGAAACACATTCACGTCCTTGGTGAATTTCAGTTTATTTGCTTGTTTCTTTCCCCTTCTCTGTGATGCATTCTCTGAGCAAGCTGCGTTTTTGTGAATGCTATGTGAATCCTCTGGCTAAAAAAAAAAAAAAACAACCCTGTCTGGTTTGACCCGTTTGCTCTTTTCATTTTAATGTTTGTGGTCTAAGGGGTTAGAGTGAATCATGCTTAAAGCTTTTTCTCTCTAGTCTCCTGTAAATAAAGCTGTGTCTGTGGAGAAGTACAGCAGTGAACACAAGACTGCAGACTTCGCTGAGTATGATCACAGAGCAGACTCTAATGATGACTCATTAGGCAGTTACGAATGAAGTAGATGAAGTCAAAGAACAGATAAATAGAAGTCAAGCGCTTCCTTCAGGAGTTTTTCCAAATATAAAATCAGTCCACCAATAGCAGCATATCCACCAATAGCAGCGGATTATTGTACAGTGTCAGTAGGTCAAGCACTTCGATGAATGTAATTTTAAAATAAAATTAAAAAAATGAACAAGAAGAAAAAAAAATAAATATCACACAAGCCTAATCATAGTATTTAAATAGTTGATTAAATACTAATTTTTCAATTTAATTTAATCAACCATCTAAAAATACAAACAGGTGAAACTAAAGGAAATTGTTGTACAAAAAGGTTCTTTCAACATCCTTATATCTATAAAACAAAACACAAAATTATACAAAAAGATCAAATACCCTAATTGCTCTTCTTTTCTTATTTTCGAGAACTTACATTATCAGCATTTATCACATGGTCTTTACAAGCCAAAAGAGAGAGGAACGGCAGCGTGCTGAGCTGTGTGTTTGATAGCTACCATGCTATGAGTGGCAGCAGAGGTAGTAATTTAACTTGTTTACGACAGCCTTCTGAAGATACAGCACGACTAACCGTGACCAACCTTAATGACAAATTTAATAAAATTGCGTTCTGTCAGTGGAAAGTTCAGGAATAAAAAGCTATATGGCTCCAAAAAAATATTATTGCCAAAATATTATTGTACACATTAAGGACGTAACCAAATATGAACTCATTATTCAGCTTGAAGAGATAAACATATACACATACGGATATGAATAGCACGCGAACTATTCTTTGTTCCCTTTTATGAAAGCTGGCCAGAAAAGTTCACCTTGTTGTGACTAGAGGTGCATAAATCAGGACAGGAAGCTGTTAGATATTAAGCTCAAAGAAAGTCAATGCCCATTAAATCATGTATGTGACGGTTCTTAGCAACTATATACAGTATATATATTAATTATGCACTGGAGCGATGTAGCTGAGGTTGACGAACTGTCAGAGCCTGAATTCGCACACCATGCTGACAGTGCTCTTGGTTTTTTTCCACTGTTTCCAGGGCATAGTGGTAGCATGATAAAATAATTCATTATTTTAATGGGCAGTCTTGTTTAAATCTGAATATGGATACAGATATACACACTTACACACTTATTACACATTTAAATAATGATTCCACAGGGGTCTATTGCATTTATTGTATTTTATAGTTAAAAAGCGTGGATCCATGCCATGGACAGGTAGAAAACACTAAAATAACTATGGGTAAAATTTCCATCCATTTATCTCAAGATACTGATATCATCCTCACCTGACAGGATGAATGCCTCTGGTATTAAGGTGAGAGGACGTGTAATCAAGCATGAGAAACGAAATGATGCACGTTTTTTTGGTCCAGGGAACATACATGGATAGAGACGCTCATTTTTGTACATTGCCCTTTTTGTTAAACCAGCTCCAGGCATCTGAAATCAATACATCACTTTCAGATTTCACCTTCGCTGGCGTGCACAGATAAAGCGACAGGCATGTCAATAACGACCTATTGTGGCTCCTCTCCTCAGGGAAGCTCCCGTCATTGCTGGAACGTATTCAAAGTGGTGGCTAGACCTAGGTGGCTAGGAAATGAGCTGCTAAGTATACAGGCAGCTCTTCATTAAGTTCCCTCTTTGTTCTGCGTCCCAAACATTAGCAAGCAGTGGAGATAAGACATTATTATTTGAACAGAGGTGCCTTGCTCGTCTTTGCCGTAATAAAGATAAAGATAAATAGAGTGTCGCCGTGTCATGACCATGACAGAGTCGTCGCTGTTAAATTAGAAGCTTGTGCGTTGAACCGCTCTTGTCATACACTGGTGATCTGTGTGACAACGAGTTAGCCACCAGTTAGCTGATGATTTGTTCACGGCTGGTTGGATCTGCCTGATGTTCAGACCATCTCAGACATTGATTGTTGAAGTCTGTAACTCAG